CCAAGTAAAAAATGTCAATTTTGATTTCAGGTTGACTTTTAAAACAGCGGCATACATTCCATTTAAATACCCAACTCAACATATGATCAGTGTTTTATGCTAAATATTAATGATTCTACAATAAATATAATACTACAAATATACAGTAATAGTATATTTTGAATTACTATAAGTATAACTACTCACCATGTGGCCATCCCTGGCCACATGGTGAGCAGTTAGATCCCATTGTTTGAAGTAAATGTGTCCAAAAGTCTAAAAATCAGTGTTTATTAAGAATTGTCACTACCAAAACACATATTTTCTGCAATTAAGTAACTGTTTTGGAGTTTTAATGAAAAATATTCTAAATTTATGTGTGTACAACTGTTCAAAGCTTTGTTTGCTAGTCATTTACTGGCTAGCATTTTTGAGTTCTGCTCAAAATTAGCTAAAATTGTCACTACCGAAACAGTCACTATCGAAACATTTGGTAAAGTTTAGGTAGTGTTTAGGTAGGTGGTGTTATGATTGTATTGTAAGTGAGAAAATGGAATGTTTCATCATTTACTTAAATAAAATAAATATAAATAAGGTATAGGGTCATTCAAAGCGAAAGGATTTTAGTCTAAAGTTTAAGTTAGTTAAAAGTCTGAAATGTGTTTTCAACTCTAACTTTGAACCCCATAAATGGAACAACTGTTTTTCTCTTAAGTTTTGGCCCTTTACACCAATATGGTATCATTTACTTCATAAACCATCTTAGGTCATCTTACAATTCCTGGCTGAAACTGGTCACGGATAATGATGTACTGCTCTATAAATATGTTATTCAATCCTTATGCATGTGTTATGAAGTCTTGGCCTTCAAATGCAAGGCATATTTATCAAGTTGTTGTGTTGCTATATAATATGAAACGTTTCAGGCTGAATGTATCATCATGAATCTGGCTGATCTTAACTTGAAAGGCTGAAAGGTTGTGTGATGTCAATGAGTAGCTAAAGATGAACTATGGCAAATAATGAACTAGCTAGGCTACTTAGCTAGGCACTGGCTACTAAAATGAACACATTAAAGTTATTGTTTGCAGTAAAACTTGTGCTGTATACATTCAAAAATATTTAAAATGCACTGTTTTATAGTTGCCTTCCACCCAATGATTGCTGGGATAGGCTCCAGCTTCCCCCGCGACCCAGAAGGATAAGCGGCTTAGAAAATGTGTGCGTGTGTTTTATAGTTATATACCTTACGCATTTCTGATATTTTGTACATGTTGAGCAGTGAGCAGGAAGGGTGGTTGAGGTGTAAAAAGCAGGGCTAAGGCAATGTTTAAGGGGCTTGGAATTGGGGGGAGGGGGTTCCAGAATAAGACCTTTCCTAGGGCCCTAAAAACCCGAGGGCTTGTCTTTGGTGTATAGATATCATTAATCGGTTTGTGACAACTGGTTTGACAATCATGAGACCAGTTTTGTTGCTTTCCACAAATTGTAACAATTTCCAGACTAGCCTATAATACTAATGTTAACCTGTCTAGGAAGCACGCCAGTCATTATTACCCTATTTATTGTTGTTTCATAATTCAAGGACTAATGTTAACTCGTCTAGGAAGCACACCAGTTATTATTGCCTTATTTATTCTTGTATCATAATTCAAGGACTAACCGTTAGTACATATATTTTGTCAGTTATGTGCAATAACTTATGTTTCTCTAATGAATAAATTGTATTTAAACAGAAGTGGTTAGGAGCAGGATTATGTGTCCCGGATGTGTGGTTGTAGGAAAATAAACCACTCCAGTGTGGTAATGGCCCCTAGATTGTGTTGGGGGCCTCATCACCACCCCTTTGCGATTCATATTCCTTTAACTGCGCAGCCCATTGCGGTCCAGCTTTTATGTATTGTTACAACAGTCTTGCAACACAGACGTAAAGGCTGAATCTGAAATGACTCCCAACTCCCTGCACAGTGCTCTACATATGGCATGAAATAATGGCCTTCATGCTCTATGTACTATATGTGCAATAGGGAGCCATTTTAGATACAATCAAAAAAAAAGTCTTTCTCACATCTGTTGCACAGACAAAATGGATGTTGTTCTAAAGTGGTAAACTCTTCCTTAAACTTCAGACTCTTAAAGGAAAGCAAAGCAGAAGGACTTTCCCTTTAAATGCAGTGCGTAGGCTGCATATGTAAACAGAAGCAAAATCAACGGCCACGAAAAAAGGATATTTTTAGACGTGGCAGATGTCTGCTTTTATAAATGCATCATACAAATTGCCGTATAACACTTAAATTATTTTGTGTCATCAAGCAGCAATATGCCAGATTTTTACACATTCTGCTCCGGAGCACAGTTCTAAATTTTGCTATCGAAGTCTCAAAGTCACAGACGAAGGCCTGGGGCAGTGTAGTCTTCTGCTCTTATAAACATGGCATCTTACAAATATAGCCCTATAGCGCTTGAAGTCATGAAATGAAATCATAATGCATTTTTCTTCTTCCAAACCGTGACGTATTTCCGGGTGAAACACAGTATCAGGGAGGGTCTCTGAGGCAGCCAAGCGTTTCCTCTTAATGACAGGTGCACCACTGGTGCATGGTGATGTAATCAAAAATCAGTTTTTAAGGCAGGCAAAAATCACTACACTTCAAACAATAATTACAGGAAAAAAAAATAATATTCTCTTTTAAATGACACAATATGATGAATTGTGCTTCATATGAACAAGAACCTGAACCAACCAAGTAAAAAATGTCAATTTAGATTTCAGGTTGACTTTTAAAACAGCAGCATACATTGCATTTAAATACCCAACTCAACATATGATCAGTGTTTTATGCTAAATATTAACATTAATGATTCTACAATAAATATAATACTACAAATATACAGTAATAGTATATTTTGAATTACTATAAGTATATTTTAAACACATATTCTCCGTCTCAACAGGACTGTTCACATCATAGCAGTTCTTTAAGAGGCTACTTTGTCAACATTAATATTAGCTTTTAGATAAAACAGTTCACCAACATCAACAATGGAAACCTAGGTATCAGTGTTGTATTTATTTAGTAGAACATACTTCTACTGACAGGTTTTTCCTCAAAGTTCAACTTTATAGATAAAAGATAACTGATATATCTAGAACCTAGATATGACAGAGTCATTAAATAGTTGGGACATACTGGATATGCATATGCTGTATACCATAATCTACTGTACGTTTTGAAAATGTGTTTATCTGCTTCTATATTAAAGTCTAGTTAGACACTGAGTTGGTTAATCAGGAACAATGAAGCATCTGACTGAGTTTCTGTAAGTTAAAACACTTCTTTACACACTTCTGCCTATGACGAAAAAATGTTCTGTTTTTTAATGTCTAAAATAGCTTTTTATATCTTTATTATTAAAACTGTGATATATCTAACAGTGTTTTACAATAAGTTACCATAACATTGAACAGACATACGTAGGTGTTGTGCAGATGCAGAAGTACAGTTTGATGTAAAAGCTTTGCTCTAGGGTTAACAAAGAAATGAGCTAGTTTAGCTAGCTAGTTCAGTATGACTAGCAAATTTCATGTCTAAAAGCTGTTTACATTTAGCTAATTTTCCTCTAAACTCTAAACAAGCATTTGCATTTAGCTCATTTTCCTTCAAGCTCTAAAGTAGTGTCTACGATTAGCTCATTTTCCTCTAAACTAGTGTCTACGATTAGCTCATTTTCCTCTAAACTAGCGTCTACGATTAGCTCATTTTCCTCTAAACTAGCGTCTACGATTAGCTCATTTTCCTGTAAACATTTATATTTAGCTCATTTTACTGTAAACTAGCGTTTACATTTAGCTAATTTTCCTCTAAACTAGCGTTTACCTTTAGCTCAGTTTGCTGTAAACTAGCGTTTACATTTAACTCATTTTCCTCTAAACTAGTGTTTACATTCTGCTCATTTTCCTCTAACTTCTAAAATAGCATTTGCACTCAGTTCATCTAATCTCTAAAATGGCTAGCTGTTAGCTATCTTAGTAGCACTAGCAGATTTCTTGTCTAACAGCTGTTTATGCGATCACTAACAGCTATAGCTAGTCTTTTAAAACAAGGCTAACGCTATTTAACAAGCTAGCAATGACTCAAATTATTACAGTTATCTTACCTCACCTTTAAAAATCCTTGTCAATTCTCAAACATTCAAAAAGTGGATCTGGCTCACCCTGTTATTGTAAAGGAAGGCACAAGAAACCCGACTGTACTAACTGCATTTGAACCACAGATGTTTAAAAAAGGACATAATTTTAAAATAAAAAATGATAACTATAGTAATATTTTCCCACATTTAACAACATAAGGAATCACAACACATAGGATGTAGGAATTACTGGACAAGTCACTCCTCTCTGAACACTGGTCACGAACATGACCCCTCCACCCCCCCTAAATCCGCCCATGCTTTAAAATATTTTGTGTCATAAAGCAGCAATGAGCCAGATTTCATACACCCTGCTTCAGAGCAGAGGTCTAAATTTTGCTATCAAATTCTCAAAGTCACAGACGGAGGCCTGGGGCAGCGCCGTCCTCGGCTCTTATAAATACGGCATCGCACAAATCGGCGTAAATTATTTTGTGTCATCGACCCGCAAAACGTGCCAGATTCTTACACGTCGTGCTCCAGAGCGTGGGCCTAAATTCTGCCATCAAAGTCTCAAAGTCACACACGAAGGCCTGAGGCAGCGTGGTGACTTTTTTTTCCTCATCAGTCCCCCCTTCAGTCTAGTAAACAAGGAGTGCGCGTTCCCCTTTAAGAGGCCCCCACCGTCTCCACGGCGGCGGGAGGGAGCGCGCATTCCTAGAACAGCGGCAGAGGGAGAGAAAAAAAATCTTCCAGCGACCTGTTTCAAGTCCCCCCAATAGAAACTGTGCCTGATTTGTGGCCAATGTTGGAGATGTGAAAAAAAGAAGGGAGGGGGGGGGAGAGGAGGAGGAGGAGGAGGAGAGGATGGAGGGAGGGAGGGAGGAGGAGGAGGAGGAGGAGGGGGGGAGGAAAAACACTAAAGGGGTAGCTATGGAGATATAACGTTTTCCTGGCTGCTTTCTTTGACAGGTGTTGAGTGGGTAAAAGTCTTAAAACAGAATCCAGCATGTACGCCAAAGGTAAAGGAGCTGTCGTCCCCTCTGATAGCCAAGCGAGAGAAAAGTAAGTGAACTGCGCGCTGTTTTAACACTAATGTTAACGGAGCTCCAACTTTCTGAAGTGCTGCTACTATTGTTTGAGGGGGGTTTCTTACAGTAACACGCTCTCGCGCCCCGGGGGTGGCTCGCTCCTGCCTCCGGCTCGGCTCTTTAACTTTTTTTAAACCTGGCCGGATTGAAACTCGTTGTTGTGTTTGTTTTCATTCCGAGCGCTTCGTTACGGTGTAATAACTACTTGACGGAGACTTCGTTCGCGCTGTCCGGTGAATTCGGTCGGGGCTGAAGTTGCAGGCTGGGCTCGGTGCTAGTTGTGAGCGGTTGTGCTGGTTCGGTCCAGAGCGCTGAACTTAACCAGCGTGTTGAGAAGCGCGGAGCCGTTTGTTTGTCGTGTTGTTGTGGAGTTACGAGCCATCGCGGCGATTTCGCTTCAGTTTTAAGACGTGGTTCAAAGTTCGGGCGATGGTTTACAGTGAGTCTCCCTGCAGCCGAGTCTTCCTACCGATAACGCCGAACTGCTGTACTGTCACTATTTCTCGTCTCTTCAGGAGAGAAATGTCCACCTTACTGCGGGGAGCGGGCTGAGACTCTCAGGGCTGAGGCTGGTGGAGGAGTAGCCGGGCTGGTAGTGAAGATGAGCCCGCGCTGTGTTGTGCTGTGTTGTGGGCTGCTGATACATAAAGGTGTGCTTTGTGTCCAGCTGATATCTTACTGGGTTTTTGAGCATCATTTGGCTGTGTAAATACGTGGGGCTGCTTCCTGTGAGGAGCTACTTACACGTGTGGCTGTAAAACACAAAGCAGCGCAGAAGTTGTCGAAAGTTGAAACTTGTAAAGTAGCTGGAAGGTTTCAGTACGAATCGCAGAAAGTTCTGCAAAACTGTCTCTGGGTTTATCTAATGTAGTCAGTGCCGTGAAAAGCATGCAGCCCCAGACGTCTCTCAGACGTTTTCTCAGACGAAGATGAATGAATTAGTATTTCCCTCAGTCGTTTACAAAACTTCTAGTAACATGTCTGAAAGGAAAAGGGGCAGAAGTCTGGAGATTAGGCTTAGTTTTTGTGTTTTGTGTTTGCATATATTTTACATATATACATAGACATATGTATATTTATGCATATGCATGTATTAGAGGTGGTATAGTGTATTGTATTGTGTATTATCACGATACTTCAGTAAGTTTTTTTTTTACAGTATATAATGTGTCATGATTTTCTGTCGTCTGGTAAGTCAGAACAGACAAAGTAATGCCGTAATAAAATACTATCATAAACTATGAGTCCAATTAGTTGCATTCAATATTTCACACACATAATTAAACAGAACTAATTATGCTCTCTTTTTAATCGAATATGAATATGAATTTTCATGATATGCGTAGAAAAGCATAGTGGGACATATTGTGATGTAACTTATCACAATAACGATATATATATATTTTTCTTTAATTTTATATATGTGTCCCTCAACAAGTCCCACAGTGTGCTGATAGACTCCACCTGTGTGGAGAATGAGTGAATCACCTGCATTGAATTCATATGTGAGGAGAAGTGCGTCTCTTCCACAGGATGACGGAAAAGGAAAGATCCAAAATGATCAGGAGAGGCTGTTTGAATCATGCTAGGGATCTAATCACACATTTGGGGAAGGGTTTGCCACTGTAAGCGCTCAGTGGAGTTCAGTACAGTTGATCATACAGAAACTGAAAATGATATGAAAGCACACCACATGGCTTGGATCAACTGGTCCCTCAAAACTTGCTGCTGGACAAGGCCACTGATCTGGGAAGCTACTGTGAAGTCAGCTGTGACTTGGAACCAGTTACAGAAGTTAGCAAAACGTCACTGATAAGATACTGTATCTAATGCGGAACATTTTGATTTGTGTGTTTTATACGGTGCCATTCAACAGCCGAAAAATGGCACACCATTGCCAACGTGAAGTGAGGCTGTGGTCATGCTTTTCAGGGTTGCTGGGAACATGGACAGTACACAAATCTCACATCCCTCTGGTAGAAACTGCAAGTCTGTGGCCAGAGCTCAGAACTGGTGTATTTTGACATTTCCAGCCTACTTTAAAACAGTGTGAGAAGTCTTGCTTGAAGGAATGGGCAAATATTTCTACATGATGATGAGCAAAGTTAATAGGTCCAGAAAAATATAGCAGAAGCTGTAGGTGGTAAAGGAGGTTCAACAGACTAGTGACCCAGAGTGGTGGACGCTTAACAATGAGAACTTTTTAAAATGCTTTATTAATTGATTTTGTCTTTATGGAGAGACTTTGGAGAAGAAGTTATTAGTCATGTATGAATATTTTCAAACAAATGCACCCAAAGCCACACAATACTGGATCTAAAATAGTAAATGTAAGGGTGGCCACATTCATGGTACTGTTGTAGAACATGCATTCTAGTTGTTGCATTCTTAGTAGGGATGACCCAGTGTGGGACATGTGGGCCAGTGCTGATGTCCAAACATTTTGATGTGTGTGTCTGACAGTGCTGATACAGAAACATTAATGAAATATTCTAGATACTGGATTAGCAGTATGGAGAAATATAATAGGATATAAATTTTGGAGATACATATGTATCAACAACATATCTATATATATATGTATATATGTATATATATATATATATATATCAGATAGATAAATGTATATGATATATATGTATCTCCAAAATGGTAACTTTACAGGAGAAACCTTCTTTACTTTTAATGTCAATGGACCCAGTCATTTTGGGTCATTTCTTTTGGTCCATTCATCATGAAATTTACACGCAATGTAAAGAGCAACAGATATTTTCAAATTATGATAAAAACTGAAAAATGTTTTGTTTTGTTCTGACAGAAGCGATATATATATATATATATAGCACTATTTGTTTCACAATCAAAACATCAAAATATCAAGTGATATTATTTAAGATTACAATGAAAAGTTGGATTGGACTGTTTTGGTTCTGTTTGGCTTCTCTTAAAATTACACCAAAGGCAACAATACATGATAAATGTTAAACCACATTTCTGAAAAGGAAACATACATTCATTTTGTTTACATGTATTAGGTGTTTATTTTTACCTCATACAACTATTGGGAATCCCTATAGCACTCAACAAATCCTGACTCTTAGACACTGATCTAGAGGCTGATAAAAATGACTGTGGTGCTTGCTAGCATTAGTGATATAGCACTAACCTCATCTGGTTGACTAAAGAGTAATTCAGACAGCTTGCAAATAACAATTCAAACAGCCTGTCCACCCCAAAGAACTTGTGGTCATTCAAAATGTACTTCCACCTTCTGGATACATCATCAGAAGGGGGTTTTCCTAGTTATCGAACCAGGAAATCTCTATAAGCTGCTGCAGCACTGTTATAAAAGGCGACTAGGCATGTTTACACCAGATGTAGCAGTGGTCACATTTTTCATTTTGGCCGCAGTGCCCCTTTAACTACCTTCAAAATCAGTATTGATATGTAACACCAGCACCAGCATGCAGGTATAGATGATATATCGCCCAGCAGTATGATAGATAACAGTCAAAGGCCTTTTACTCAGTGTCATTTTATCCCAAAGATCTACTGATGAGTGACAGATAAACCTTCAGTTCATACACAGAACTCATTCTCAACCTGTTCTCTTCAGCTGAAGAACCCTCACAACATACCCTTCAGCTGAAGAAGCCATGAGGCATCACTTATAATAACCCTTTATTTAATGGAAATGTATAATGATACTGTGTAAAGCATGAATGAAAGGAGCGATGCTTTTTGTAGCTTTTCTATCGTTCATTTGAGAGTCACGGTTAAGCCTGGGGACAAAGTCGGGTCCAAAGGGAAAGTCTCGTACTACTTTTGAGTAAGTTTAGATTCGGAAAACAGTGCAGCAGATTTCATTGTGAATTCTAGCAGTCTAACTTCACGTTAAATGAAGGTATTCGATATTATGAGCTCTGTGGTGTTGGAGGACGTTGAGTGGGTTGATTTGACATTTTATCTGAACAGCAGCTTTACAGTAGCATAGGTGAGAACAAGGTAAGCCTTCAGATTGTCTGCCTTCATCATGTCTGATAGATTTACTGAAGTTCTTCACTTTCTTCATTCCTCTGTTTGGTTTCTTACAGCGGAAGTAGCATAGCCTTGCGCTTTGTAATCTGGACGAGAACGCTGTGTGAAAATGATCACAGCAAGTCGGTTTTCAAAATCTTGAATCAAAAGGTGACTTTGTGCATCCGCCAAAGCTTTTCACAGTAGTCAACAGGCCAGTTATTAAAAAGCCTGTTTCTAGCTAAGTGTTTATAAATACACTAAAGAGGTTTAGGTACCATTCAATGCCGACCTTGGCCCGGAGCAAACGGGAAAATCATTGCTTGAATTGGGCCGATCACTTAACGCTATTAGAGCGGGTGAAATGGTCTTCACCCCTTGCTAAACAGACAAGTGAACAATCCTAACACTCATTTGAATGCTGGCGGATTTTATTAGGTATCGCTCTTTTTTAGGAGGACGCGTGATGCTCGGTCTTCACTTCAGTATGCAAGTCTAATTAAGCTTGGTGAGTGATGTGGGGGCAAAGCTTGCAAACGGAGGAGATTTCTGTGTTCAGCTCTTGAGTGTGAAGTTGTGCAAAATAGCCTATATTTTGGTGGGAGTCTTTTTTTCCTTCTCTACATCTTGATCACTTTCTTGGGCTTTTCTGTAGAGTTTTACTGGAGGAGTAAAGAGGCAGCGTAGGACTGAATGTATGGTTTTGATTTTCTCCAGATGGTCCTGCCTCCTCCATAGAGGTGTTTTCAGCAACATATAAAGAGAAGTGCACACGCATACAAAAGCACTGTTTTCGTATGAAGAACGTCTGATTTGCCGCCTTTCAGATAAATGTGGTACTCAGACGTAAATGTGGCAGTCAATTAATTTTTTGGGTTTCCGTGCCGGTTAAGTTTCTAATCATTTGAATTGCTTCACAAGGGCACTGTTTGACTCCAAATATTTAGATGGCGTGTGCAGAGGGGGCTTTTAGTTTAAGGACTGATTTTGCTTTTTTTGTGTTTGTTTGCAGATTTTCTTTTAGGATGACTCTTGAGACATTTTTCAGAATGATTGATTAATATGGGATACAGCAAGACAGCTTATCAACACATAAGTCTGTTTCATCAGCATTGCAACTTTGAGCCAGTCTTGCATTACTTCACTCCAGTGGAATGAAACTATCAGCCTTCAGTTGCCGAACAACTGCTCCGAAAGCTTTAGTCCAAAGACTGAAAATCCCAGGGAATCAAATGCAGCAGAATTTACAACTGCATAGCGATCAGTCTAGTGAGACTAGGCACAAGGTATGATTAGGGCTGGAGATTAAATTGAAGCATGAATGAATATTTGTATAATAAGAATTCAAAAAATTCTTAGTAGAATTTTAAATGTCTGAGGCGCTTCTACTAGATTTGTTGGGTGTGTTGAGGGATGAAATAATGATTCCTCATTTATTCTGTGACATTGCACCTTCATTAGTGTAGACGCTTTTCAGTACTACTGTTTTTCTTGAAGGAATTAGATGTGAAATTAAACAAATCACTTCGTTAAGCTGTGATAGTATAGATTCTCCTATATATTTCTTTGTACATTTGCTGAAGGAGAGGCGTTATGTATTTTTCCCCTTTGTGTATATCTCCAAACCCAGCCGTGGTGCTGTTACGGTCTTCCCCTCCTGAAGATCTGCGAGCCCAACTCTGCGAGTGAATTATTGAAATCAAGACAGGAAGGTTCATTAGTTAGGCTGTCTGTGCTTGAGCTTAGCAAAACTTGCCTCTGCTCCTTTTATGTTTAAAACGAGCCTCAACTGGGAGCCTCAGGCTAGATGTCAGGATGTGTTCTCAGGTTAAGTTAGGAGAAGCTTACCTTGATATGACTGGACACACAGCGAGGAGCCTGTGCTGAGTGTCAGAGCACAAAGCAGGACTAGCTCAGATATTCCTGTCTATCACAGCCATATTGGCATTCAAGCGGCTCTCCACACAAGGCTATCAAGGTTGTGATTTATCCTCGCTGCGAAGCTTGTCGAACCAAACAAAGGCCAAAAATGTTGAAAAACTAAGCCTTCGGCATTGCTTACAGGTGCTTTTTGAGTCCTGTAAGAAGTTAACATATGTGAACACTGTGATGGATGCTCTGCAATCCATTTGACACAACAGTATGTTTTAAACACAGTGTAAATGGGGCAAGCCTTTCAGATAAACTCACAGTTGTGTACAGGTGTAGAGTAAAAGTGTAAAATATATGCCTATAGAGTTACATTTAATGCAGATTTAACCCTGCAGGAGTGGATTTAACACTGGCGATGTTACTGTGGATGCACATGGAGCCCTCTCCAAGTGTGACCCTCCAAATCCCATTTTCTGACTTGGTGACAGAACTGTCCTCCAGAGCTAAAATCTTCTTCAGTGTGTACCATGACTGAGAATATACAGTACTGCATACGTCAGAGAGCAGTCAGAACACAATGTTATTCACTTTCAGAAGATTGTTTCCAAAAAGTAATTAAAACATATGGAGAAAATGGGACTCCTAACAACCGTGCAAGACCTGGTAGACCACCATAACTGTCTCCATCAAATAAAGTCGCTTTTAAATTTGAGAGATATGAGAAAATCAAGCTCCACGTTTGCTTCAGATCTGAAACAACCCACAGATGTTTCTGTCCGTCCATGCACTGTGAGAAAATAACTTAGTGCTATGGGTCTGAAAGGATGTGTAGCTGTCAAGAAGCCTCACTGAGAAAAGGAAACTAATAGAAAAGAAGAAATTTAGCAAATTAAACAAAAAGCTGATGGTATTCTTACAACAATGGACTGACCACCCCAGAGTCCAGACCTCAACATCATTCAGTAGTTGTGTTCCAAAGTCTAGGCTGCAGCTGAGTTAGGCTGCATTTCTTGGCCGCTACGTCATAGAAGGCTGTTCCAAGTGAAGGACTCTTCGTATACAGCCTTGAAATGCAGACTACGCTCAGAGTGATTTCTAGTACGCAACAGATGTATCCTTCCAGGCCTTCGGTTACCCACAGTTCTGTGCACAAAAATGATGTGTAGGAAAAAAAAACAGCATCACGAAAATGTCCATATGTCGTATTTTAATCCAAAATATCTGTATATATATGTACTTTATCGTACTACATAAGCTTGTTGGCGTATTAGCTACCGTAGCAACAAACACAACGCAAGGGGTTCCATTTTCTCTCACCAGTTCCCTCACAGGTTTCGCACCGTAATTGCATTTGTGTGACCAATAGGCTGCTAATGAGGAGTCTTCATAGGACAGTCCTGCCGAGGACCCGCACTATCTTGGCTTCTGTCTAGGCTTGGGAACGCGGCTAATGTGTTTGGGATTACTTGGATTGTGAGAAGCAGAACATGAAACCAACTTCTAAGACTGAACTTGCTGGAGGTGTGGAAAAATATCCTGCAGATTTCTTTGAAAAAACTGAAAGCAAGAGTCCTGAAAAGACTAGAAGCTGTAATAAAGGTAAATAGTGGACACATTAAATACTGAAAATGTGTATTGCACTTAATTGTACTTATTGCCTGTTTTGACTGGAAATTGAATAAATGAAAGTTTGGTTTCTGACTATGCACAGTGCTGTGTACATAGCGGGATATTCTTCATTACGTTACATTACGAGGGCTGTTGCCCATGGTCAAGCCAAAGAAGGCTTTAGATCATTCAGTGGTGAGAAAACTGAGAAATCATCTTTTTGTCCATTCCAACTTCATGGTGAAAAGTCTCCGAGACCAAATGCCTGAAATAGCCTGAAGCAAGATGGCTGGTGGATAAACAGAGTGGGGATTGCCAGTGTTGGGATGTTCCTGTGGATGTTTCTGTGTCAGCCAGAGATGCGTTCTTCTGGACCGTCTCTCTGTCTCACCATGTGGCTCTGAACATTCCTTTTTATTGTCCTGCAATGCAAAGTATGCTGGACAAGATCTCTGATCTGGGCTCCTCAGTTTTGATTTTAAATAAGTTTTAAGGCTCTCTGAGATCATAAACAGGATTAACTCAGTCCTCTCTGACCAATCCTGGGTCCCGACTTCTACTCTTCACTCCTATAACTTCATAACTCAATTTGCAGTGTTTTCCATGTAGTGTCTGAAAAATAAGCCTTAGAATGTGGACATACAAAGAACGTTAATCAGTTTGGATGCAGTGAAGTGTGTTAATTGCACATTGGGTACATAAATTCTCAACGTGCTGCGTAGTTTGAACTTTGGCGATAAGAAAACATGATTTTCTTTGGCTGCCATGATTAGCCTAGACGTTATCCTCATTCTACTTGACTAAGCTTGGTGTTCTACATTGTAGCTCCACCTTTGATATTGTCAGTGAAGTTGACTGGTAGTGTCCTACTTTCCCTCTACACTTCTCTGATGCAAAAGTGCTCATAGTTCAAGCGCTCTCACCTTCTCTGCTAGAATGCGACATCCAGTTGAACAGCATTTTTTTCCACCTGAGCACCCTGGACTGACCCAGTAATAGAGGGACTAGTGTGAGGTGAAAAAAGAGAAATAAGTAAAAAAAAAAAAACTAGGAATGCGGATTTGACCAGATTCTTTTGACTGATAACCGACCATTATTAGTCAGTGATTAATCGTTAACCGACAAACCTAAAATCACAGATACGACCCATTAAAACAAGGCCTATATAAACAAGGCTTTAGGCTTAATGGAGTGAAAAAACACAGGCTAACAGATATGACAAGTACGTAATGTCTACTTACTTACATTTACCACGTATCACATATTAGCCCGAGTTAATGAACTTATATTGCTTGACCGAGGCTGGCTTTAGGTTATGCATATCGCTGCTGTTGGACCAAAACCTTGTATCTCCATTTTTGACGTTTTTCAGTTTTTGACTTATTTTGAAAATGCCTCTTGCCTTTATATTGTGTGTAAAACGCAAGATGAATGGACCAAAAGAAATGACCCAAAATTGCTTGGAAGAAATTCTGGTTCCATTGACTTACATTAAAAGTAGAGTATGTTTTTTGCTTCTCCTGTAAAGTTACCAGGTTTTGGTCCAACCCCAGCGATATGCAGTTTAAACAACAATCTTAGCACTGTATCACGTGGCTAAATATCCTAGTTGAGATAGTGCTGTAAACTACATTTAGGATGGTTTAATCTCTGCTGTATCCCTTTATCAGGTACTCTGGTGCTTTTGGTTAAAATTAACTCCAGCAGCAGGAGTCAGAAGTCACAGTTGTGCTTCGCTGAGAAGGGCTACCACAACAAGTTGTGCTCTTGGACCCTCATACAGTTCAAAAACAGGCCTCAACCTGCATGAAAAACCTGCCTATTAAAATGTCAACTGGTTATCAGACATGAAATAAACTTTTTGACATGTATGTATTTGTCGTTAATCACCAACATCCCTCAGAGAACTAAGAACTGTTGTTCTCCTTTTGTTTTGCAGGTTAGCTTTATATGTGTACGAGTACTTGCTGCATGTTGGTGCACAGAAATCCGCACAGACCTTCCTGTCAGAGGTAAGTGCTTTATGGAGATGAACTTCCTCAAGTGAACGGATGCATGGGGCTCTCAACTATTGTATAGCGAGGGGATGGAATATGCATTAAGGGTCATCTAAGAGTCAAGTACAGTAAGGCTCTGACCATGTGCTGCTGACTGCATAAAAATCTGTGTGTGGTATAAAAAAACAACTAATATTTGTGGAAAAAGTCTTTAGTGCATTCAGTGCATTCCTGGCAGACTGACTGTTTTGGACATTGCTCGACAACAGCATCTTCTCTAACTTCAGTAATGACTGTTTAGTCTTTCACAGAATGAATAACCTCTCACCCTTGTTAATGTTTTGAGACTGTATGTGCTTAAAAGCATTACACCTGAGATTATGTGTAACGAACAGGGCTGATGAATTTAATGTGTTAATAATGCCTTAATGTGACACCACTAATTGTTTTAAAGCCACATTTTATTAGTTTCACACTTTGAACTGTTTAGATTTGTGCATATTCACTTAATGAAAGAAATGTTACTGAATAATTGGAAATAGTACATAAATTCTGATGGCGCTTATCTTGTCTACTCAGATGATAATAACAAAATGTTTTTTAAATGAAAATAATATTTCTTTTGGCTTATTTGAGCCAATAATCACGACTAACCACACGAAAATAATATGATCAATCATGATCAATTGTTGTAACTGTTTGACGGCCCTAGTAGTCATCTTCCATTCTCTGCCATTGTTGATAGGAAGATGTACAAGACAGTATTGTCAATGCGTTTGTAAAAATTAGTGCATTCTTTGAAGCAGGGCTGTCCAATCTTATCCGCAAAGGGCTGGTGGGGCTGCAGGTTTTCCTTCCAAATAAGCTGAAGCCCACCTGATTCTACATGTTTAATCAGTTGGTGTTGGTCTTCAGACATTTCATCAGTTGTCCTCCTTTTTTTGGAGGCCCTCTGTGAATAAGATTGGACACCCCTGCTTTAAAGGGAAAGATAAACCAAAATAAACCAGTGATCCACAGGAGTGTGTACACGCCATAGGCATATTGGTGATATGCTTGTAGTTTCCTTTAAAAACAGTTTTAATTTGTTTTAAACTGCATTGTTATAACTTTGCAAAGTTGACATCTTAATAAAAAACAAATGACTGAACCTCAAACGTAATTAAATTTGACAAAGTAACAAAGTATGACAATGGAACATGCCCCTAAAGTAGCACAGCTAGAAAATAGTCCCTAAAGCTGGGTGCAAATTACACGGTTTTAGAACTGATTTTTCAGTTGTAGGCCAAGTTTTGGGATCCATGACAGCGTAATTTTCTCAGTCTAAAAGCTCCTGCAGAAGCCCCGATATTTTCAAATAAGTTTGAAGGTTTTGGTGATGACAGATAGTAGTTGTAGCAATGAGCAGCAGCCAATGAGATCATGAGAGAAAAAACTCTCAGGGAGCAACAAAACAATATCAAACATGTTCAAGAGGCTATTACAGACAGAAGTTCTGAATATTCATCAGTGATGTTGCTCACCACTACGGATGGGCTTGGCGTGAACTTTGAGTACATATTTGTGGCAGCTTTCTCCTTTATGCTGTCAGTGGCCAGTTGCTTTTTGGATGGACCCAGGAAATGGAGGAGAAGCTGTAGGGCAGTAGAAAACAAGTTTCTCCTTCTCTTCTTTCTTTTTTGCTGCACAAATTAGTGTAGAAACAGCAGCTACGTGAAGTTTCTCAAGCCCTAGTTTGACTCATGATTGACACTTCTTGCATTTATTTCTGTGAGAGTGGAATTTTGTCATCAGGCACGCTTTGTCACGAATCTCTCCAGGTAAAAGTTCATGTAGTGCGTGAGCCCCGTCTGCAATCGCTCGTGTGGTATGTACACAGTTACTGTGACAAACAATAGGTCCCAAGTGATAAATGGTGTGTAGGGTGAGCAGCATAGTGATTCTAAGCTTGTGTAGTGTCCACTACGCATTTATTAGCCTAGTCAATTATAGTCTTAACCAATAGTTAAGAGTGCTGCGTGCGTTAGTACACTGTAAAAATAAATTACCTAGCTGCATTACTTTCACTGCACCACATTATCAGTAGAATAGCAACTTTATACTATGGCTCCAAAGTCACCTGGATCACAAGATTACTGTGATGTAAGTGTATTCTGCTGTATGCTTACAGTAATAAGCTGTAATTAAAACAGCAATCTCCTGTATTTTTACATAACGACTGTAAAAGTAATGCATCTCAATGGCCAGTAATTTACTGTAAATGTACACGTGAAAAAGCTGACTTTTTATTTTAGCAGACTTATTAAAGAGTATAAATGAAGTGTTTTGCACTGTAAATGCATGGGAAACCTGAAATCTACATTGATTTTTTTTATTTTACTTGTCTTATAATTTGCCCAAACATCACCAAAAACCTGTATCTATCTATAGCAATAAAACATTTTTTTTGTTAGCACCTCAGTGTTCCAGCATTTAAACAAAAAAAGAAAAAAATACTGTTAAAACACCAAAACCTGAAGCATCAGAATAAAAAGTACTTGAAGTGTTTTTATTAAAATGTTTGTGTCTCTTTACAGGTCAGCAACCTCACATTAATTTGTCATTACAGAAGATATCTTAAGATGAGTTGGTTTTAATATAAAATTAGTGTTAAATATTGTGAAATGCTGGCAATAATTAAGTGTAATGTGGGCTCACAAAGAACATGTTTACACAACGATTATGTCTGAACATGTCTGACAAACACTCGACCACATTCATGTAGTGTGATGTTGGATAAAACAGATTATGAGTTGTCAGTTCGTGATAAAAAGCCTTTTGCCTTCCAGATGAAGACAAGGTCACAGTTGTGCCTGTTGTAAGAATATTGTGTAGAGCACTGTAGTACATCACTGTGAGATTCTTCTCTCTATATAAGTGGTTCTACATGACACTAAATGGTTCTATACTCTGACCTTAAAATAAGGACTTCAGTGCCATAACATCTTTCAGCTTGGTTTATTCAAGGGTGAAATGACAAGTACCGAGAAAGGGATATTAGAAATTGAAGGTCTTTGACTTAATTGTGTTTCTCTGGTGTGTCTTAAAGACGTTTGAACCTGTGACCTCTTGCTTATTGCTGTGAGTCACTTTACCACTGTGCCACATCTCACGCTCAAAGTTCTTGCAGTAATTTAATCCAAGAAACCTAAGTTAAAATATTTCTGTCCAACACTTAAAGGCTTTTTTTTGTTGAATTTTTAGAATTAGTCATTTAGGAGACCCTCTTATCCAGAGCAGCTTACAAAATATGCACACTTTTTAAGGGCACAACTGATTTCATAGTTGGCTTGAAAAGCATTTGAAGACCTTATAAAGACCATTCAATTAATATTCAGTCTAAAATCATATGTGGTGCTCTATTTAAGCTTCTAACATGGCAACATTACAACTAAGAGTAAGCCTCTAACAAGCACTTGAAGCTATCACTGGATGTGGTATCACATTAGCTACCATAACAGCTAAAATGAGCTGGAAGCATCGGTAAACATTTAATAAATTAACTCTTCATTTGTACTTCTTTGCAAAATGTGAAGAGAATTTGCAGAAGCATTAACATTTGTACGGCTAATGTTGGCCTGATTTGAAGTGGATTGCTCTTTTTTGGCACTAGTGATAGCGCTTTTGTCTGCGCTGTTATTGCTAGCGTAGCCCGTGTCAGTGCTTTCCTCACTATACGAGCACTATACGCCCTTCAGCCCGGAGTGGAGGCGATGTTAGCGCTCATTCCGTTCATAACTGCTCTTAAACTCGACCGCGTGTTAAAAGTCTGGTTAAATCTCTCCTGTGAGAAGGGTGAATAGGTACAATTGGCTAATCATATGCTCTTAACCTCTAGACTCTCTACAGTGATCCCTTTCAAGGCCAATAAAGGAATCCCATCAGTTTCTATTGTTATTGGCGATAAGAAATGATGGGCTTTGTTAGCATGACCACTATTTTAACAGCATAACTCATGTTTCTCCCATGTTCCCTGCTGCATGTTCTATTCAGGATTTTACTTGATATTCCGTGATTAGCTAATGGCCTGTTTTTGCAGGTGTTCTTTGAGCTGATCTGGTTTTGCTTGGAAATATAAGAATGAAATACGATGTAACTACGCTCTGAGTATTCAGATGATTTCTTGCTCAATAATTTTGATGACTATGCAGTGATTTTAGTTAAAAGGTGTGAATTTTACTTTCAGTGCCGCTATCAGAGAGAAAAACATCATGTAGCTTGCCCATTTTATCACTCACATAAGAGTGAATGAGATGTGGGAATTTGATCAGTGATGACAAAAAAGAAAGTCGTAGTAGTTATGATGCCCAAAAGCATCCAGTTAGTAGATGGATAAAGTGCTAAGCTGGGAGTTGGGAGATACAGTCAGAGATTAATTGCAGAGTTTAAGTGTTGCTTAGTGACTGCTGGGGCCTGTTAGATCCCGGGTCACTGGCAGCCGAACACTTCACTTACACTTCATAAAGCGTACTGTCTCTTAAGCATTTCACTCAGTAGCCTAGTTTGAGTGGCCTTGTCCATTAAAGCGATAATGTCATGTTAGTCTCCAGTGCGATATGTTCATACGTTGATAAATGTTGAGGGTTGCTCTTTAGGCCTGGGAATTGTTAGCAACTTTATGAAACAATATGTATCACGATTCAAGGGACCGGACTGAAACTGTTCTTAGACCAAACTGGAGCTTATTTTCCTCCTGAACAGCTTTCACATTTAGCATGCTTTGGTGGTTCTGCAAGAACTTTGAGAACCTCACCAAGGATAATCTCTTCAGCGCATAAACATGCAACTGCTTGCAGTAAAAGTATGCCATCTAGAGCTGCACAGCATGGATAAAATACAAGTATCGAATTTATATTGCTTTATGCTGTAATTGCTAAATGTCTTGCATTATATAATGGTTAGTTTCGGTGATGCAATCTGATTGGCTGAGAAGTGTTCTACCTGTGCTGTTATTTGTGATAACAGCATGTTTTTTTTCATAATAACTGTATCATTCTGCTGAGCACCGGCTGCTAAAGTGCAACTGCTTTGCAGCTAACCAAAATATGCTTCTACATGTATAACAGCAGAACAACTAAATAAACTGTAATTAGCCAGAAATGAACAGAATGGGCTGTGAAATGTCTTACAGACTGTTTTACAGACAGTGTTCAGACTAATATGGCAAGTACTGAAGTATTGAAAAAGCTGAGATTGCGACATTTTCATAGCTCTGTGCAGTGCAGTAATTTGGTTTTGTATTGGGTATTTTGTTGGATATTTAATATTCTCTCCTTAATTTCTCATTAAATAAACTTCCAAAATTTTGCTGAACATAATGGTTTGAAAACGCACATCATTGGCATGTTAGTCGCTAAGGGACCACCTACAAAGTGCATAATGTGGATGTTTTTGTAAGTGTTATTTCCCATGTATTCACCTAAAAGAGGGCAAAATCATATCAAGTCTCTTCCTTTAAGCTGAATACAAATTCCGGGTAAGGGTAACCACTCTCTTCACTACAGGTGATTCTACTGGATTTTGCCTTCTGTTAGCTAAATTTATGGAAAATATGCTTTGCACCATTTGGACTAATCCTTAATGAAACATTGGTGATCTACATTTCTGAAACATTATGTTCAGCGAAATTTAATGATGGACACTTTTAAATATAAATGTATAAATGTTATACATATGTTAAGACATGCATGTGCCAATATAAAAATTCTACATCACAATGATTACCTAACTAACCAGACTGGAGCTTTTTTTTCTCCAATGCAGCTTTTTGTGCAAATAATAGTAATAAATAAAGAGCTAAACCCCAACTATTAATACACATTATTCATGCACTGAATGCTGTAAAACATACACACAATGTGTAAAAGTAAATCTATGTGTCAATATAGTCATCACTGTATCAATATGCATATCACCATAAACTTATCCATGATATATTGTCTATATCTTATCTAAATTTTCTATATTTTGACTGCAGCCCTGTTTCCCTGTGTGAAACACCTTGTTGATTTAGGACATGATAAAAATGGCTTGTGATTTTGAAACCACACAGCACAATAACCAAAGTTAACACCTGCAGGGTTAAACTGGTTTACATTGTGTAGTTACACCAGGGGGTCCAATGTACACTGTAGGTGTTAATTTAACACTGGTGAGTTTACTGTGCATGAGGGACCTTCACAGTCAGAATGGAATGCCATTGTCACAGATGCCTGAGATTTGCTAGTGTCAATTATAGTTCCCCATCTACTGTCAGTGAGTACTTAATGTTATTAAATAGTCATTGCCGTTGATGTTTTGTTTCAGTGAATTGTGCTCTTCAGTTATCAGTAACTGAGTTAATTCACTTATTGGCCACTTTATTAGAAGCACCTACCACGTTGGTACACTTTGTAGTTGTACAGTTCATTTTGTTCACATGCACAATTCCTGTTAGCATCCTCTTTCAGCGGTCAGTGTCTGACCACTAGACCACTGGCTGATATTTCTGGTTGGTCACCTCCGAACTGACACTGATGTAAGTCAAAACCCCAGTAATGCTGCTGTGTCTAATATACTTGTACAAGTGCAACAGCCACTAACATGCCACTGCAATGTCTTTCAGTCCTGTGCTAAGAATGATCCAAATAATATCCAAATAATATCTGGTCAGTGGTGGTCTCTTTCCGTTAAAAGATGGGGTAGAGGATGAGCATCAGATGGGCTACAGTTATGGTAAACCAACAAAGTACAAAGTAATATATGGTAGGTGTTTCCTGTGAAATGACCAATGAGTGTATATACATAGTAAGTGTATCTAATAAACTGGTAATGGATAAAGTGTATAGGGATCCCAAGTGGTAACGTAAAAAACACTGTCAGGAGCAGGTGGGTGCCCTGCTGTATCCTGTTTGTCCAGGGGGGATGCAATTGGCATGCGCTTAGTGGTTAGAGTACTCCTGCAGTACATTGAGAATTTCACCAAGGAGAATCTCACCAACTCATGAAAACGCAGCTCTAAAGCTGCACAGTATGAACAAAATACAGGTAATGCAATCATATTGCTTTATGCTGCAACTGCAGTATATCTTGCAATATGTTAAATAGGCATGTGCTGATATAAAAATGTCATATCAGTTACACAGTTTACAATATTGTCACAATATTTTATTAAGAAAAAAATGCATGTAGAAGGTAACACAAATATATACAGTTGTATGCAAAAGTTTGGTGCCTTGGGTCAAATGACATGTTTTTGTTGATTTGGTCACACTTTATTTGGATGGTCCTCTATAGATGCCCTGCAGCTACTTAAATCATTAATAAACTTTCTGGTGATCCTCAGTTGATTATAAACCACATTATGGTTAGGGTTAGGAGTAGTTGTAGGTTTTGCCTTGAGGTTAAGGTTAGGGTTAGGTTTAGGGTTTGGGGTAGATTTAATAAACGCTTTCACACTGAGCTTCAAGTTCAGTTGAATTTAATGGTGAAAAAGGTTAACATATCCTCAACAAACTTCTGCTCATTAGAATACACAGTTACTATTTATTTGGTGAATTTAACATATCAGAAAAAGAGTAAAACATGAAATGTGTCCTGTGCAAAAGTTATGGCACATTTTATATTTAATGTTTTATTTTATATCCCAGTAAAGACGTTCTCTGTTGAAGATTTTATCACTTAGAAAATAAACAGATCATGCAGTTTTACTAAGGATATTCAAACATTTGCACACTGTACCTGCATTGTTTTGACTGTCATTTTCTGATAGCAATAATGGTTGGTGGTATTACATTTTGGGGATTTACGTCTTCCCTGATGGTTCTTTGTATAGCAGCACAGAAGTCTTCATTAATCTTGGCAGTTCTGGTTTTTTTGACAGTATTAATGGGCACTTTATCATAGATTTCTCCTCTTTTTTCTGGCTGGTTGGTTGACCCTCTAGGTAACACATTAGTTATGAAGAGAGCAGTGTGACTGTTGCTATGAGCTGTGAAGGTTCTCAGACCAGTAATACACCAAAACAGCTGTATAAACATTAAATATGGGATTTGATCACAATGTGACAGCAAACCACAGCTATTCTACATACCTAAGAAATCTGTGGTGAAGCTGCAGCTTGATTGACTAAAGTGCACAGATGCTATTTAAAAGTGTCCATAATAACAATATCATGTGTGTTAAATATAATGGGACACCTTATTATTGAACGTCAGCATATATTTAATGTTAAAACTAGCAGCGATAAATGACTAACCTGTATTATTTTGACTGAAACAACTTTTGTATATCTTGATTCATCAGAACAGAAACACTCAACAGGAAATGTGACTGGTCAGGATGCTAACGTTTGGCTTGGTTAGAGGACTCATTTGCAAGTCTCCTTTGATATCAGTATTGCATAGGCAATGAAGCAAATATGGTTAACAAACGACATACTGTACAGCTTCAGTGCCTCTGAGATCCTGAAGCCAATTGGAGATGACAAAAATCACATAAAAAAAAGTGCATAATCAGGGCATAATAAATTCCTAATAAACGGTTAGCAAAGTTTTTAAAAAGATCCGTAAATATGTACACAAATGCGCTTGCTCCCTGCAGGGCAGGTCTTTAAGCCTTTGTGTGTACACAGCAGGAGAGCACACCTGTGATTCAGGGCCTAATGAGGGAGCAGTCACCTGCCTCCTTCTCCCAATTACCGCTGCTACTCCCTCCACTCACACCCCGAGCCACCAGGGGTTAGGCCACTTTTCACTCAAAAGCACACGCACACATACATAGCAAAGCATCCTTAATCAACTAATACACTCAGGACCTGAAAAATGCAAGTCATGCACTTACAGCTTGCAGCTATCACTTGGCATCTACTACTGTACACTGATATAGAATATAACCCTAACTACAGGCACCGAGGGAGTAGGTCTTTGGAATTACTTGACTCAAATATGTATATCGGCTTCATGTGAATAAAATAAATTGCTGTGCAAAAGTCAGAGACCATGCTTCATTTATTTCATTTCTAGGCAAACTGACCATAGCACATAGCACTTGTACATAGCACAAGTACAAGTACTTCAAGTTTTCGCCTCTGTGGTCTGGCTTTGGACCTGCAGATCTTGGCCTGCTGACTCCCCCAGTATCTCCCATGCTTTTTAGCAATAGAACGTAGGGATCTATTTGTGCCCGTGTAGCAATATAAGGCACATACTCATCCTACTTTTCTCTCTCTCTGCCTCTCCTGCTCACTTTCTATCTTTAGATCCGATGGGAGAAGAATATCACACTAGGAGAGCCGCCTGGGTTCCTGCACTCTTGGTGGTGGTACGTATCGAATCTCTACATCATTATCATCTCCAAAAATGAGATGCAACTTCATAGTTGTCAACTTAGACTCAGTATGCTGTCAATGATAAAGTTGTATGTTACAGTTAAGGTCTAAAAATACCCTGAGAGGAGCTGCGAGGGCTTATTTTATCCCGTAGAACTCTGGAGTCATTATTGCTGTACTGTGGAAATGAAATTATGCAATTAATGATGTGATTAGATATGTAATGAATTTAAAGGGACACTCCAGACCAAAAAAATGTACGTCTGTTGTAAATATGCCAGCTCGCATCCTGCAACGGCACCACAGTAGACCGTAAGAGTGAGATTTTCCAGTTTAAAGAACAGAAAATCTGCCTCTGATGATGTATTTTGAAGGTGGGAGGAATATTTGAAGAACGACAGGGCAGATACATTAGGGTGAGCTATTGCAGTTGTTTTCCCCAAATCATTCTGCTTATGTTCTAGCCACTAGCTGGCTAATGCAGAGGGACGCTAGATAGCTAACAGTACACCAAAATTACATCTGTACTCATTAGCCTCTACGTCAGTGGCTACGCTAGCAGTCAGGGTTTCTTTGTTGCCTTGGGGGGATTCCCAGTGGCTGTATGATGTACAACCCCATTTCCAAAAAAGTTGGGACGCTGAATATAAATAAATATAGAATGCAATGATGTGCAAATCATGTAAACCATATTTTTATAGAAAAATACTACAAAGACAACATATCAAAAGTTGATGAACTGTTTTCGCAGACACTGGTTATCAGAAGTGTTTCTGAGCCCATGCAGTGATTTGCACTACAGAATCATGTCTGTTTTGCACTACCAAAGATCACAGGCAGCAAATACTGGTTTTTGGTCTCGTCCCTTACATACAGAGATTTCTCCAGATTCTCTGAATCTTTTAATGTTATTATGTACTATTTTAATGTTATTATGAACTGTTTTACATACATCATCTAAACCGCTTATCCTTCGGGGTCGCGGTGGGTTGTTGGAGCCTATCCCAGCTGTCACTGGGCAGAAGGCAGGATACAGGGCAGACAGACATATACAATCACACACACATCCTCCTAGGGGCAATTCAACATGTCCAATTGGCCTGAGGGAGGACACCAGAGTACCCTGAGGAAACCCACGCAGACACGGGGAGAACATGCAAACTCCACTCAGAAAGGACCCCGGTCACCCGGCCGGGAATCGAACCCAGGTCCTTCTTGCTGTGAGGCGGCAGCGCTACCCACTGCGCCACTGTGCCGCCCCTCTGTTTTACATAGAGAAATGTTATTCTTGAAGTGTTGCACTATTTGATCGTGCAGTCTTTCACAGAGTGGTGAACCCCTCCTCATCTATACTTCTGAAAGACTCAGCCTCTCTGGGATTCTATTTTTATACCCAGTAATAATAACACCAGGTGTTTTTTTAGTATTACACAACTTTGTCAGCCTTTTTTTGCCCCTTTGGAACATGTTGTTGGTATAAAATTCAAAATGGGCAAAAAAAAAAAAAATACAATTTCTTTGTCCTTGTACTATTTTCTATGAAATAATATGGTTTAAATGATTTGCACATCATTGCATTTTGCTTTTATTTACATTTTGCACAGTATCCCAACTTTTTGGAAATGGGGTTGTATTTGTATAATGCACGCTGGGTATCAGCATCAAAATAAAATGTCTCCTTTTCTGCTTACAAACATAAATCTCGTATTGTTTGAAAATTATATCATTAGCTGCCATTGAAAAAGAATGAATATGAACTTGCTGTTGCCAGTGATAACTGTGGCTTTTAGGGGTTAAAACTAATCTAAGCTCGCTCTCTCAACCATGCAGGCTGAACTTTTTACTGGAAAGAGAGTTTAAAAAGGAGAAATACTTCTTGTATTAGGTGACCCACTGTCCATAAATACATCAGTGTTGTACAGCCCAATGTACTAGAAGACTATCTGGCCTTTTGTTCCTGTAAGTAGAGCTCCACAAAACATATGACAATTGGGAAAAAGACCAGTATTTCAGAGAAGTGTGACAAAGAAGTAACCAGCCCCAGTAACCTTTTGTAGATTAGTTCTAAAGGGGACCTTTAGGGGTTTGATGGAGGATGACAGGCTATAAGCTTCTAGCAGGATTCAGAAGCAGCGGTGTAGAGTAGAGCTTGAAATGTCCGAACCTGACAGGACCTAACTATTCATCTATGGGTTTGGACATTGTTTCTCAAATATTAGTCCGGCTCATTTCGGTTTCTGATTTCACAGTATTGGTCAAAAAAATCATGATTAGATATTTTTCCCCAAATCGTTCTGCTTATGTTCTAGTCACCCGTGTTGTTGACACCAATGTCTAAAATAAAAGCAGCAAATAAATTCAGAAGTGTGCAGTAGGGGTGGGCAATGTGATGGTCTGCTAGTGTTGTTATTAACAGATTGTGTTACATTTTCGTGTTTCAGAGTTTTGAGTTTGAATGAGTTTTGTCTGGCTGCAGTTGGGTTCAGGCAGAATTTTGCCAGGCTACAGTTGTTTATTCTAAAATTTGCAGGACTTCAGTCAGGTTTGGATAAAATTTTACCAGATTACACTCTGGTTCGTGCAGAATATTGATTCTTGATTCTATAAAATTCTTAGACAGAATTTTCTTAAGCGACAGTTGGATTCAGACAGAATTGGTCAGACTGCTTTTGGATTCAGAAAGAATTTTGTTGGGTTGCAGTCAAATTTGGCCAAAATTTTGTTGGCCTACATTCATATTCAGACCAAATTTTGAATGGACTAGAGTTGGTTTCAGACAGATTTTGTTGGGTTGCAATCGGATTTGGACAGAATTTTGTTGGGCTAAGTTTGGGTTCAGACAGAATTTTGTCAGTCTATAGTTGAGTTCAGACAATTTTTTTGGTTGCAGTCAGATTTGGATGGAATTTTATTGGGTTACATTTGGATTCATACGGAATTCAGACAGCATTGTATAAGGCTGCAGTCGGGTTTAGACAGAATTTTATCGTGTTACAGTCGGGTATAGACAGAGTATTGTCTATTGCAGTTGAGTTTAGACAGAATTTTGTTTGGCTACAGTCGGGTTGAGTCAAAATGGAAAGAATCCTGTTAGACAAGATTTGGGTTCAGAAGAAATTTTGTCCGTCTCCAGTCGGATTTAGACACAATATTGTCAAATTCAGATTCAAAACTTGGCCCTTTGGGTCCAGTTGGGTCAAATTTGGGTAGAGAATGTTGTTGGTCTCTTGTTGAGTTTAGTTCAGAATTTCAGGCCTGTTAGAAGCTGCAGCGTAGAATCGGGAGGGGCGCGGGTGTGGGGGTGACCCAGCGTCTGTCTGGGTTTATAGCACGTGGGAGAAGGGGGGGTCACTTTGGGGCTTTTGGGGGGTAGTAACATTGCCCTCTCCCCCTCCTCCTCACCAACCCCCTCCCCCAAACAAAAAGGCCAGATGGTAAGGGAAAGCCAGCCCCTCCCCCCACCATTGCTCCCTCCTCCCTCAACCTTTGTCTGGAGGTCTGTCCTTTGTTTGCGGAAGAGTCCTCAAACGGATTAACTCCTTGCATTCCAGGCTCCTTTGTGTTAAACAGCCAAATCTCCTTCTCCCTCCCTCCCTCCTTCTATCCCTCTCTCCATTTTCTTCCCTCCTTCTGTCTCGGGCAGTTTCCTGTTGTGGGGGTAGGGGACTGGGGGTGTGTGTGTGTGTGTGTGTGTTGAATAGTAGCACCGGGCAATAGCAGCGTAGAGGTGAAGGGGTGTGGGGGCGTCAGTCGTACACATCTGCTGTAAAAGAGAGGATATTCGGAAGGATTTCAGTTAGCGAGAGTGCAGGTGTTGTGACATTAGCTTTAAAGAAATGTGTACCGAGTTTCAGTTGTGCCCAAAGTCCACCTCTGAAAAAGTCTTGAAAGTAAAGGAAGACTGTTCGGTGCTTGGATCAAATCTGAGATGGCCTCAAGCTGACATTCCTCATCGTGAGGGGCAGAGAAAACAGCGAGGCCAAACAGACCCGCCCTCCACCTAATCTCTTTGTTATTTGAACACAAACAGGTTGAGCACAGGAAACTAAAGTTTAAGGGAAAACAGAATAGAAAGTGGCCATAAGATGTTCACTGGAGGTTTTATGTCTAAAAAAGGGATTGAATTTCTTTTGTTTCTTAAACATGGACATTCTACTCTGCTCTTAAATCTGATGCTCTCTTAAACATTATGGTTCCTAAATGGGTTTTGGCTTGGTGTGCAGCTAGGTGTACAGTTAACCTTTAATTGTCTCTGTGTTAGAATATCATAATATGTATTGTGTGTCATGAGAACATCTTTCAGTATATTTTGATATGATATTTTTGCTATATCGCCCACCCCTAGTTTGAAGTATGTATGACAGTTATCTATAATAAATGGACAATGGACAAAATTCAGGCTTCAGGGTGACCGCTATTGCTGTTCTTAGCCTTGTAACATAGGTTTGTACATTTGTATAGAGATAACTGGTGATACAAAATTCCTGGCCAAATCTAAACTGAAATTCAAAACACACTTGACTGAAAACCGAAACTGATTTTTTTAATTTGCTGTTTTATTCATACTTAAGAACAGACATACTAAACACAAAAACTGCGAGATAATAAAGAAAACATTTTAATTTTTCATTAAATCTCTTCACTATGGCAAAACTCAGCTGACAATAAATAAAAATTGTTACTTTATTACTTTTACTTATTACTTTTCACCACAGCTAATGTTAGTAAACTGTTTGCATCATAACTCTTTTCACCTCATACCTTTCACCTGGAAAACAACTAATTTGTTAAGAGTTAGCTAGCTGATACCAAATATAATAGATCTAGAAAATGATGCTAATATTCCATTAATTCTACAGGCAGAGAGTGGAAAATAAACTTTAAACTCAAAATTGTTGTTCATCTGTGCTTTTCCCCAAGGCTTCCTATGTGCTACAGCTTCCCATTTGGTGTGCAGTAGCCTTTAGACAGCTGCAATAGTCTTCCTGTTTCC